TACTGTATATTTACTCGATATAAATATCCTTTTTTCTCTCTCCTGAGAAGGAAGCCAGTCGTGCTGAAGGTCACTTTGTAGAAAACGCAACCCCCCACCCCTCTTGAGTGAAGCCGTAGAAGCCAAAGAGCTTTAATGCACTGTAAAATCCCTGCGGGAGATGACAGGAGGCGGCGCTTCTGACGGGATATGCCTTGAATGCAAAAAAAAAAAAAAAAGTGAAGATGAACATTTCGGGCACTTTAAGTGAATGCGGAGACGGAAGACCATTCAGGAAAGAGTTTCTCCAAACAGACATGGGCCGTGTCAGTGAGCATGATGGCATCTGTGTCCTGCCATCATGCTCGGGACTCGACACCTACTCGGGATCTGGTCCCGGATTTCAGGCCGTTGTGTTCTTCCAACGGCGAGCTAGATATCCAACCAGTGGATGTCAGGTTACGGATTTGTAGTCGTTTGTGTCAGTCAACCGCCGTGTGATATTTTTTCAGAATGGCGGCATGGTTGCACTCATCCTTTGACTGGCCACGAGTCATTGATTTTTGATGTGATGTCCGTTTGTTGACGTTGACGTCGAATGAGTTCATCCATCCATCCGTTTTCGAATCTGTTTATCCACACGAGGGTGGCGGGCGTGCCGGAGCCTATTCCAGCCGTCTTCGGGCAGTAGGCGTGGGGACACCCTGAACCGGTTGCCAGCCAATCGCAGGGCACACCGAGACGAACCATTCGCGCTCACAGTCACACCCAGCGACTATTTAGAGTGTTCCCTTCACCTTCCTTGCATGTTTTTGGAATGTGGGAGGAAACCGGAGTACCCGCAGAAAACCCACGGAGGCACGGGGAGAACACGCAAAGTCTTTTATTACGCCGTTTATCGAATTTGATTTATAATGGATGTAATTCGAATTCATTTAGCAATCGTTGCTTGGGACAGAAAATTTAAACCAAAGAAAAATTAAAAAAAAAATAGTAGTACCCGGAGAAAACCCACGCAGAAACCCACGCAGGAAGGCCTGAGCCGAGATTGAACCTTGACCTCTGCACTGTGAGGTCGACGCGCTCTAATGAGTTCAATTAAACGGCTTGAACCAACTTTAGGATGGGCTCAGTTATCGTACGTGACCCTCATGATGACGAGAGTTATGAAAAGATGGAAGCTCCCTTTATATTTTTAAATCCTGTTGTGTCGGGTCTAGCTTTCTCGCGCTAAATTTGCATCGCTACACTCCGGCTTTCATGTTCGTCGCGTTGTTTTGACATCTCCAAGTGAAAAGTCTTCTGTTGATCGGTTTGCGACGGTCGCTGACGATTAGCCTGTCAGCTTTTGATGTATGGTTAGGGCTCCTCGGGGACAAAACACAACTCTTTAAAAACATTTATTTTTATTCTTATTATTTATTTTAATCATTGCGCGTACTGCGGCAGCCGACGCTCCCACACCGGATGACCTCCGAACTCGCACGACCCCGCGACCTGTCAGCGGCAGCAACGTGCGTCACCAGCGCAGTGCCGGCGGATCCATTTTTAGTCACCGCTCTCATCCAAGTCTTTTCCTGCTCCTCAACGGGGTCGGGAATCTTTTAATTAACGCGCTAATTACGCTCATTTGTCCCGTGCGGCTATGCGACGGTCCGCGATGAATTTCTGCGGCACTGCCAGGCCCCTTCGAATTTTAAATAACGACGTCTTTTCTGTCGCCAGCCGGACTCTCAATTAAATATATTGTAACACGGACTCAAGCGGACACTTCTGTGGACGAATCAGCAGATAGCCTTGTGTGTAGCCCCGCCCCCACCACACACACACAAGTCTCCCACACCGCAATGGGAAAGCAACAAAGGAATAGCGAAAACGATGACTGTCTGAGTTTCATGTTGCGGGAACGCAATTAGCTACAAATATAACCGAACCGAAAAATAAACACACAAAGCGTGCCGCAAAAGCGCACTAAAAGGGTACAAACTCGGGAGCCATTACAGCGTAGACACAATCAATCGCGTGCAAAAGTTAAAAAAAAAAAAAAAGCAAAACAATCCACAACACACGTCTCCGCACTCGCCGGTTTATTCTTATTCAATTCTTTGCTGACCAATCAGTGGTCAGCGGTGCTCCTAGCTCCGCCCTACACCAGCAAACTGAAATCTTGCGCCACTTTCTGAAAGGTGGGGGGTGGGGGGGGGTGTTCGAGTTGGACGTTTTGAGACCATTGATGAACAACTGGGAAAAAAAAAAAATGGAGCAAAGCGTACCACTGCGACAACACTCCCTACTTGAAAAGCGCATCGAGTTCGATATTTGGATCTCTTCACAGCGCAAACAATTTCAACCAAAACCAAGTGTGTGTGGATGATGTAATTGCAGAAAAATACCGCCTCACCGGTGCAGAAATCAAGACCCTTATATTCCACTAGTTGGGGAGAGC